TTTGGAGAGGTGCAGCAGAGTGTCTGCGGAAGGAGCGAGGACGTCTCTGCGTTCACTGCGACACACGCAGACCTCATTTCAAAGTATAAATCAGCCATTACCCTGCAGTCCATGTGTGTGTGAACGCAGGCGGAGTGTTTAACCCTTTGTTTGTCCTGCAGTGCTCTGACTCTGGAGGACGAGAAACGATCTTTGGCCGTGCTGATCACCGGCTTTATCCGCATGGTGAGACTTCTCAGCTTTTGGATAAAGTGGATTTATGTCTCTAGAAACCTTGGATGGAACAAAGGTGTTAATAATGGAGGCAGCGCTGCTTCATATTTGCTTTTTTATTTGAATGAAATCAGGCCTGACCTTAGGACCTCATCATAAATCATAAAGTTGAATGATTGGCTCAAAGTGAGGAGGCCGGTTTTCTCCTTTATGTAGATAAAAATGTTAAATCTCCTTTAATCAGGGAAATGAGTCCGATCGGATCTGTCCATCGTTAAACAATGTTAAAATCATTACTGGGCTGGACCATAAATCTGAATCAATAGAAAATACATCCAGTAGCTCCTCTGAACTCAGAAACACATGGCATTCTGGGAGATGTAGGCAGAGGAGATGATTAGCATCCTGCAGCCAAAATAGGCAATGTTGGTATGGAGTGAATTTTGCTTCAATATTAAAGAATTTGTAAATTGAAATAAAAAGATAAATTCATACCAGAAATAAAACATTAAAAACATTTGAGATAAACTTCACCGTTTTCTCAAACGACTGTATTAAATAGTTTTCATAGACTATATTTTCATTTTGTTTGAGTTGAAAGAATTTCAAATTTTACTTCTTTTCACTTCAAGCCCATTTAAAATAGTTACAAACATCCATCCATGCAGACCAATAGGAATGCATCTCCAGAGAATGTGAAAAATTAAATTCAAATTTGAAAAAAAAAAACCAGATAAAACATAAAGATGAAAACAATGCAATATGTAATCTTTTTTTAGAGGAAGTTTTCCAAAGTTTAATTTCTTAATTGAATGTTTTTTTGAAAATGGAAATAAATTCCCTCCATAGTAGGGCTGAAAATGTTCAGAAGAAGAATAAATCTTGTGTTATTACTTCCATGGTTCTAGATGGGGGCCTACAGGGGCCCGTGCCCCTGTCGAACCTGACCCGTTTACTGATTACATAATACTACATTAATTTCTGATGACGATATACACTGACAGAGAAACCATAACTCATTGATCTCTCGGATCACTGTCAGTTTTTACCTTTAGATTAGATTAGATTTTTTAGATTAGAAGTAAACTTTATTGTCATTACACAGGTACAAGGCAACAAAATGCAGTTTAGTCTAACCAGAAGTGCAATAGCAGCAAGTGCAGAATAAATAATGGTTCTATAAATACAGGACATGGGTTTCTACTGAATAAGTATAGAGATGAATA